TCGTCCGTAACGGATTGTTCGCGAATCACCTGTGTTGATCTCAAAGTTGACGGTTTGGTTTGACTTGTATTATAGAAAATACGGTTGATAGTTATCCTAACTCGAACCAGCAGTTATTGAACATATAAATTTTGGCGCTTACAACGAATCAAGAATCTATATGCCAGTCTCTCTGGACCAATTTTCTTGTCAGAAGAAATCATAAACTCGCTCCAACATTCTCAAGAAGAACGAATCCCGAAGAAGAAGGAAGAGAAAAAGGAGACAATCGTAAAGAATTGCAAGATACTGGCGAACACTTATGTGCAAATTAGAAAGAATTATCGGCTCATTGAATGAACTCAATTCAATTGGTTCGTTAAATGACATTTTGTGCAAGTGGCAGCCGGTTCTTGGAAGATTTTAAAGTTGGAACAATGTTCCAAATATGACAGTTTCAGTTTGGTGTGTCAAGTGTTTGGGATAATTTGAAGGAGGGGAGATAGAAGATTTTCGGATTTTTTGGAGTTAGGGTATGCATTCTGACGCGACGGTGTACAGTTTGCCGCTTTTATGTATCATCGTTCTCAACTTGCGCCATCGTAGCTCAGCTAGTAGCGGCTTGGCACCTGCAGTACTCGTCCCACAAGTTCAACTTCTCGAAGGCTTTATGTGAATGAAATTTCTAGAAAAAATGTTTTCAGGTCCCCCCCCCCCTCTTAAAAAGAAAATAAATAAATCAAATTATTTTATTGAATCAAAGTTGAACACACCGGGATGGAAATCATGAATTTATGCACTCTCAAGAGATAATAAGTTATCCGTTTTTTGACTAATTCGTGTTGTTTGCACTTTTTGGAAATATTTTGAGATCATCATCTGCATTCTGCTCGATTCTGTACACTTCATACATTTCAATTTCTTTTTGAGGTCTACTTCTCGAGCAGTTTTGAATCTGATGTTCCGTTGAGACGAGCCTGAAATAATAACAATTTTCAACGATCTCCTTATTTCAAGTCCTTACTCGATTCAACGCTAATCTCATTTTCCTGATACTATTCCTAGCAAATGACGTAGTTCCGTCACTTGAATCATCTGAATTGTTATTGGTTGTAGTCTCTGTAAGACGTCATTAATTATTTGTCCAATCAATCAATTTTTTCTCACCTTTGTAAATCGCATTCTCCATCTCACAACACTCTTCGGCAACCTTCCCGAATTCTCTTCTCAACCGTTTTGTCGTTTTTCGTTCTTTGAAAAACAAAAGGGCGAAAAAGAGTGCAAACATGATGCAAATGATGTTCAGTGACGTAGTAGTTCCACCAACAACTTTCAGCAGTTTAACTGAAAAATCTCAAATCGAGCGCTAAACTGAAAGTTCAGAATCAATGAGTTAGTGGAAGGAAGAATACGGTTAGGAAACCAAAAAGAAGTGGTCGGAAAGGCTCACTATTAAACTGTTTTATCTGCATACCATCATAGGCGGCCATCAGTACTTTGTCACAAGTTTCTCCCATGTATCCATCGTCACAGCTGAAAAAAAGAAGTTTTAGATGGTTCAGATAGAATAGAGACTTACTGGCAAATCTTTCTGGAGCCATCCATAAGACAGATCCCATTCATTCCACAGAATCCATCGTCATCTGAAGAGCATGGTGGCAGGTTTGAGTTGTTCTGAAACCATTTATTGTAAAACGGAAGTTAAAGGTAAGTTTTATACGAAATTTTGTACAAATATTCTTGTCCCCCCTTAAATAATATTCCAATACTGAAAGATTCGTTGTCAATCAACATAAATACGACTGATTAACAGATGATGGCTGGTCAACCACTGATTGTGAGACGTTCCAGTAATATTCCATCTTATAACGAGTCTTATTTCTATATTGAATAGTTTCTATAGTACTTTTTTCCCAGAAAATAAATTTTTCATAGTTTATCATGATTTCGCACACATTTTATCAGGGGATATATTTTTGATATCTTGCATAAGACCAGATAATTGAGCTTGAACTTGAAAGATTTGGGGAATTTCTATTACAGGTTTTACAGTAGTCCCTTTTTTTCTAGACCTCAATAACTCACATCTCTCTTCTGCTTAACTCTCATCTGTCTTGAATGATACTTTCCATCTTTTTTCCTCGTTGCCCCACACTCGTACATTCCAGTGTGTATGCGGGAAAATGAATCAATGGTAACAGTTTTGCTGAAATTTTCATAATAACCACACTGATAAGAAAGTACACTTTTCTGACTACCTTTGTCCATTGCTGTCTCCAACTTCAACGTTATTTGCTCTGAAGACAAGATTCTCAAAATGCTCCTGAGCCATTGTGCACTTTAACATCAGCTGCGAACCTTTTTCAATATTCTCCAAAGTTTTTGTGATTGCTCTTGCTTCCTCTTCTGGATCAAGTACAAGTTCATAAGTAGGGAGCATTGATTGCTCAGCAGTACGACGAATACGTTTCGCTCTCATTTTAAATTGAAAACTGGAAATTGAGGGTTTTCCCAGAAATAAAAAGAAATTCCAAGAAGAAAGAAAACGAAAAGAAAATGAACAGGAAAAAACAATTAGGAAGATAAAAGAGACGAATGGAATAAATTTAAGAAACGGAATGAAATCTATTCTGAAAACTGAAAACAGAAGAAGGAAAGAAGCAAATGAAAAAGAAGTATGATGACGTCGAACATGAATATTTATGGAACTGAAACCCGAGTCGTTTCTCTGAGTTTGAAACGGAGATTTAAAATACATCACTTTTTTACCGGAATTAGGTCTTGAAAGATAAAGTCAGGAAATGGGAAAATGTCCACGAAAACAGTTCGTGTGTTTGTCTAATCCATTGAATATTTATCACATCTCGGGGTTAATCCAGAAGAAAGATTATCTAAATCTGACGAGGAGTTCTGTCAGTTTCCTTTTTGGTTATAACAATAAAAATCTATTTGGGAAGTGTCAATCAGCTAGCACTTTAATAGACATGTATGACAGGCAAAAATCAATGACCCAGAAATTGATGATAAAATGAAAGTTGAAAAAAAAACAAGAATGCAAAACATTTTAGGTTGATCGAAGTTGCTAAAACATACTGGAAAAACGGTCCCTGCCATAGTTTTTTAGGGATCAATACCAGCTAAATTAGATATGATAGAATTCGACAAGTTCTACAATAAACAAAATGACAAACCATAAAGGTGCCAATTCGGGCTGCACCTGAGCCTGACAGTATTTTCGACACGTTCGGTATGTAACTTTGTTCGAAAACAGGATTCAAATTTTCAATTAGTAGCATTTTGTAGTGCTTGTCAAGTTCTACCATATCTATGTTAGTCGGTCAAAAAATATTGATACTAAAAGGAACTATGGCAGGGCATGCCAGAGCCCGTTTTAGGTCCGTTTTCAAGGATCCTAATTTTAAAAATATGACAAACCAATACTGACGAAGAAAATGAAAGAAAAACGTAGACATTTTAATATTCTCTTGTCAAAAAGGAACTCTTTTTCGCTACTTGGAAGAAGTGGATGGAGACAAAACGAAACCCTTGGGATGGAAAAGATTGAAATTGGGGGAGAAATTATGAAGTGGATGTGGGAAGATAGATATTAAACTTTTAAGGAAGAACGACGATTAATTTGAAGGAAAGAACGAACAAGTTATGGGGTGTGGTTGGAGGGGAAACATCTGTGATTCGGACGAATGCGTCATTGTGTTTCTATGCTTATCACCACTAACTCGGGTGATAAAAATTGTAAATGGAGAGAAAGTAACCGCAAAAGAGGGAGTCTTTGAAAATAAAACAGTGCGGAGGTGGCGCAGGGTCTCATGGAATACCGAATTATCTCAAGTGCTCTTGGATCATGTGAGTAATTGAAATATAGTGACACGTCATTCATTCTCAATCAGTGATATGATCCATCAAGAGCATACACACCACAAATCGATGGGGAATAGAGAATCGAAGGTTTCGGTGGGTGTGCTCAAATATTTGACAACCCGAAAAGAAAACGACCCGAGTGAAAGAAAACTGTTTTCTGCACTTATTTTGCGGCGAGACACAGCGAGATAAGAAGTTTCTAGATTCGGTTTGAGAGATGAAAGTACCAAAGATGGTGGCAAATCATGCGGAAGAACATGACTAGGTGGGCATGACATTCTTGACATTTTTAATTTTATTCTGAATAAAAAACAATTGGAAGAACTGGAAGGTAATGGAAAAGAACGTTGAGACGAAATAGGTCAACTGTCTGTAATCGTCTGATTTCTAACTGTCTTGGCATTCTGTTAAAAAATTTAACAATGTGGGGACATGAAAAAATTACTGTCTCAAAATTTTGTTTATATAAGACTCTCGAGGAACTGAACTTGTGTGGAGATTATTGAAGGTGCGGCGCCGCAACCGAATGAGCCAAGCGGGAAAACTGTAGCGGGCGCACGATTTAACTGAAACCACAGAACAGAATGCATACCCTAACTCAAATAAAAAATCCAAAAATCAAAAAGCTCCTGTCCCGCACCTTTAAAAGAATGTATGAAATGTATAAGTCGGAAAATCGAAGGTGACCAAATTCCTTTAAAAAGTGACTAACATGGGCTCGAGAATATAATGTCAACGAATGGAATCGAGTGGGTCAGCGAGCAATGTGTCAAACATCGGGAGGCTGCAAAAGAAAAAAAAACGACTACCGGTTTGAGAAGAATCACAGAATACTGAACATCCATTATAAGAAGACAAGTGGAAGAAAACATTGAGGACAATATTCTTATTAAAAGTGACCGGGGTTGGGGCAAAGAATAAGGTAAAAGAAGAAGATTATAGCAGAATTAGGGTTCAAGAACAAGAAAGTTGTTGACGACAAGAACCGCAAGAGTCAAGAAGTGTTAGATTGTTATATATGGAGTACCTGGAACTTGCAATATGTCATGATGAGTAACTGAAATTAGTAAGGGAAAACGGGAAGAATGGGAAGCGGAAGAATTCGGACTGCATAACAAAATTTAAGAAATTATTTTAATAGAATAACAGAGTAAATGTTTCAGAAGAGACAATAAACAAATATTATTCTGAAAGTAGGGTGCCTTTAAGTACAATGATTCAGAAATTGTGGCATTTTGTTTTAAATATTTATGTTATTTAGTAGAATTTGAAAATAGAAGACACAGTTAAAAAACTGAAAATTTAAGAATTCTAGCATAATTTTTTAATTAAGAGTTCTAGCATAGTTTTTTTTGTTCATAAATTTTCAGAATATCCTAGAAATCCAGAAAAAAATTTGAATTAATCAGTTGTATTGGGTAAAATAAAAGAAAATGCGACGAAAAGCAGTGAAAAAATAAGGAGATCAATTACTAATTATAAGAACAAAATTATTTACAGGTTACGGTAATTATCGTTGTGAGAACTTCGACCATGGCCACCACATCAATTTTTCTGTGCCAGAATAATACTGATGAGTAAAAAAATATCACGAAAAAAAATAGTCTTGCAATGAGTGTGAGGTATTTTTTCAACTCATTTTATTCAAAAATTTCCGGTCATGGATTGATTTTTGCAGAAATCGAAACATCATGTTTTAAGAGAAAATAGCAAAAGAGAAATCAAAGAAAACCCAAGTTGTAAGACACATCAAAAGCCCCATATAAACTTAAGAGCAAACACATTTTCCGAAAGTTACACTCAAACAATTGAGAGAAGAAGAAAAGAAGAAAAATAAGTTCGGGATTCGGATTTCTCCTTTTTTTCGATATAATACGAAATGACCTGTCTCAGTCTGTCTATTTGAAGGACTTTTCTCTTGTGTGAGTAACAATGGAATGCGTGCGGTTCGACAAGTCATCATGATCCTTTTTTCGAGGTGTCGTATTTTTAAACAATAGGCCATCAAACACATCTCGAACGAGAAAAGAACGTCCATTTGGGGAGAGAGGCAATTGGGGTGTGGTGATGAGATGACGTAATCAAATGAATTCAGCTTCTTCTTCTTCTTCTTCAGCTTTTTGTTATTCTACTTCTTCTCCTTCGACGAATGAATCTTGTTTCGGAGGACCCGAAAAAGATGACGCAGCACTGCTGCAAACAATCAGTCGGAGGTCGTTTGTGGGTCGATTTATTTGACTTTCAAGTCGGTTTTCTTTTCAAAACTTTCTAGTGTGAGAAACTGAGTGTGGAAGCAGAACAGATTAGGACACAATTGATTTATGAGACGAGAGCATATCGGAAAATGACGTAATTCTGAAGTAGGATCTATTTTCAGTCTGCATTTGTTAATGAATGTTGTCTGGAATCAAAATTGTAGTCGTCAATACACACCGTCTAGAAGCAACATCTGGAAATGTCATTATTTCAAGCCTTTCACCTGTCAGATTTTTTTCAGAGTTTCCTGAATACGTCAGGGTTCGTAACGAGTATTATCCAGAATCCTAGAAAAAATAGAACTGTTTCTATTTTATTTAGGGAACTAGGGAACTACCTGGAAATTAAATGGGCTTTCTAATGGCATGGGTCATGAAGTGTAACTCGAAGACGACTCCAGATAGTTTTCTAGTTAGTGATATTTCTGAAAAGATTCCATGTCAATGTTGTTAAATATTAGATTTTCCATGCGACCTTCGGCGCATTACTAGCTCAGGGACGTTCGGAACGAAACTCCTAATACGAAACTCCTAATAAAATTTCTCTGAAGCTGTTTTTCGGAATCGAAATCCGACCGGAATATTTCCGAATTTTTTTCGCTCGAGATTTTTGAACTACAGTATGTCAAAGGCGCACTGGAAAAGTTTTCTTGCGGGAATCGAGCGGAACTACGTTTAATATTTTTCTACGTTTTCTGAAATTTTTAGTTTGTTAATTTTTCACCAAGTTTTTGCGTTTCTGGGATGGAAGAGTGGTATTTCTACATTAAAATCAAAATGTTGAACAATTCTGGGAATTCTGACTTTTTGAAACTCGGAATTTTCGATAAATATAAGTTTTCTATGCATTCTTCGCCGCAGTGATCCCAAAGAAGTCATTTTCGAGTGTCCAGAATATTTTCAAATCGTCGGTCCCTTCTGTAATTTTTTGAGCACGAAGAAAATGAAACACAACACACAAAGATCTGTTTCAGAGAAATTGCTTAGACAAGTTTTCAACATAAATACTCTGTAGTGTCTAAAAGTATTCAATCTTATATATGGTATTCGGTATTCGATCAAACACAGGATGCTGAAATTAAATGAGCAAGATCCAACTAACAGCGGAATTCTAATCGAGCATTGTACGCTGGAAAAACTGACATTGCCCATTTGTGTAATAGTAAATTAAACACAACGGAAAAATGTATTGAATTGGCTTAAAAACATGATAAATAGTACTTTTAAAAACTGAAAGTAATTACGGAATGATCAAGCGACAAAATAACAGGATGATTTGTTAGGGACATGTTAAGACAGGATGAAGAATGATGTGGAGCAAAGTATTTTGCTACCCGGAAAAAGATCAGGAGATGAGCGGTATTATGTCGAGTTTATTCTGGAGTCGTGGTTTTCTGTCGCTTCTTCGGACAAGTCAATTCACTCGGGTTCTTATACGTCGTCATGAGTTTTCCAGCACCCGGAGCGACCATATCGTTCGTGAGTGAGGATATGAGGCGTCTCTCTTCATCTGACACTGCTTTTCCATCAGTCTTTTCGTTTTTCAGATATCCACTGCAGTAAAACAGATCACTATCTGAAATCTCTTCAAAATAGCCGAACCAGCCTGATCTATTAGTATATCGTCTTTAGCTCATTGATTCTTTCAACGATATCTTTCTGAGATCCCGTTGGTGGCAGATTGCAGTGCTTGCAAAAGATCGCGAGTCTCATCGGCCGTTCGAGATTTTTTGAAAACGATGTCCGGTTCGTCGACGGAAACTTTGTCGCAACGTTTCTCGAGAATTTTCACCTTCCTGAAATTATTTATTTGTCACATAAATTTATGCGAAAACCCTCACTTTTCCATTGTTTTTCTCAATAGTCCTCGCTTGATTCTTCGCCTAGCTTTATCGAGTTTTTGGAAGCAGAAGATGGGTGAAAAGCTCTTTTCATCATTCTGTAACATTAAATTCAATAATTCAACAGATTGTATCGGTACCGTTATGCCGACAACAATTCCTTCCGTTGCCGACGGACACATTTCGTCTCGAAATACTTGAAAATGCCGCATCATGAAAAATGGAGCTAATGGAGAAGCAACAGGACATGTAATCAAATCGTTTGAATCACCGAATTTTCTAAAAAAAGCGAAATTATATGTTTCTATTGGAAGCGCAATGATTACTTCTTGACGAGACTTGTTTCTTCTTGCTTTCTTAGAGCCTTGTCAAGGCTTTTCGCCATATCAGATCCAAGTGTTCCGAACTGTTTGAACCACACTTTGTCTTGCGTTTTTCCATGATTAGACACGAGATGTTCTGTGAGCACATCGCTGTTTTCGACTTTCCGGTGGCATTTCGGACATTCGAGATTTTCCCACTGAAAAAATGGAAGATAACTATAGGCTCGTTCAGTTTCGAGTTTCAATGAGTTAATTTTTAACAAGGCAATTGATTTCTATGAATTTTTGTAGGAAAATTATGTATTTTAAGCAGAGTTTGTAGGTTATTTTGTCGAAAAAAGGCTTGATTTGAAACAAAATATGAAGAATGAAACACCGTACTGCTTTTAAAGGCGCATCGAAATGTCACTAACGGCCCTGAACGCGTTTTTAACTGATGGTCTCTAGGGCGGCTATTGGAGTTTGCAAGAATTCAATTTAGAACGTCGCTGATTAAAATAACTTTCAAGCGATTAACCAAATTTCCTGTCGGTAGCGAAAGATAAAACATTTACGAATATCGAATATCAAATACTATTTAGAAGGATATTATCTGATGTTGTATCTTCCACAACCGACCGAAGTGTGGTTATTCGCTTGAAAGTTCATTTAATGAATAACGTTCTAAATTGGAGACTTGGGGGTACGACGAATTCGAAC